GCGAACGGTCTTGCAGGGCTACAGTCGCGTCCAAATGGGCCGGGCTCCCAGGCAGTCCGGCAGCGACAATTCTGGACGGAGTCTAACGCCACTCCCCAGGTCCAAAAGGACACCGTCCGGGGGGTGCTGTCACGTGTTGTGTATGAGCCAATCGCCATAACGTTCCTTTGAGACTGGAGGGGCGGGTCTATGCAAATTTGGTTCTGAATTACAACGCGCGAGTCAGCAAGTAAAGCAATAAATACCCCAATGTAAGCTCTGGTTATAAAAATTTCCCGACTCTGACGAAGTGAAAATGATGAGAAATTGATTAGAGAAAAATACTGCTTATTTTAATGTAATCTATTCGTTACACCAATAAAGTCACCCTAACTAAGAAAGATCTGGTGGTGATAGGGCTGGCTGAGAAAAGAAGAGGCTGGTATCGCTTCTCGGCCTTTTGGCTAAGATCAAGTGTAGTATCTGTTCTTATCAGTTTAATATTTGATACGTCCTCTATCCGAGGACAATATATTAAATGGATTTTTGGGATTAGGAGATGGAATAGGAGCTTGCTCCGTCCACTCCACGCATCGACCTGGTATTGCAGTACTTCCAGGAACGGTGCACTCCCTTCGGGGAGAACAACCAACGGTTTAAAAAAAGAACTGGTTGAACAATTTTTCTTTTGTTTTCATTGAAAGTGTGTCAGCGAGTGTAACAGTGAGAATGAGGCAGGGATTTAAACAACCCTTTGAAGGTTTAGTTATTTTCACTATAGCTTTGGTTTGGAAAGCGTGTTGTTTTCCTGTACTGGTTTTTTTTGTTTGTGTAAGCAAGACAAGTAACTTTTACGATCCTTGAAGTATGAAGCAGATGTTCCCTTTGCTTCCTTTTTTAAAGCATGTTTTTACTTTGGTTTTTTTTGTTTCATTTTCAAGTAGTCTGTTTCATAGTTCCTTGTTCAGCTTGTCTTGGTTTGCTGCTCGTGTTTAATAACACTAATTCGTGTGTTTTTGAGAGCCCCCTGGAAAAGGGTAGTTTAAAACGTTTTAAAAAATGTTTGACTCAGTGTAATATTTCTATTTTAGTGTGTTTCCTGGGCAACATTACCCTGGGCGTGCAAAGGGTCCAGGTTAGTTGATGTTGCCTTGGTAACACTAAACAAAGTAAAACGTAAAATGTAATTTGAAGTTTCTACCAGAAGTTCTGCAGCTGATGAACGGACAGTGGTTTTGCTTTTCTTTCTGTTGTAATGATAAGTAAAATACGTTTGCCATTTCAATTACCTTTCAGTAAAATTGACTAATATCACTTATCATGTTGTATAATAGTCATGTTGTCAGTTATCACTTACCAAAATTCTTCAGGGACTGGTCTTTCCTGATCACCTGTGCAAATTACCTGAGAGGAAATCTTGCCATCCCCATTTCTAAGGAATTTCTTTTCCAAGGCCAATTTGTTCTGACAGTCT